GGGGGGGGCGGATGGGGGGGGGGGGTTGTGCCAGGCAGGCCTGGAGTACCTCAGGGGGCTCCCTAGGCAGCCCACTGGCATTTTGGATATCGATTTACAGGGCTGGTGCCTTTGGAGCAGGAAGAGTAGGGGCTGCCGGTCAGGCCCACCAAGGGAAGGGGCTAGAGAAGCCCAGGCCTAGACTTGAGAGGCCCAGCATGGCTCAGAGAACACATGGAGGACCTGGATCTGAGGACCCACAAGGCTCTGCCCAGGGCCAAGGAGGGCAGGTGGGTGGGCAAGCAGCCAGCCAGCCTCCCACACCTGTACCCCAAGACTGCTGAACATTCCCAGTCTGGCTCTTCTCCCCTTTGAGGTCACTCCTACCTCCTGGGTGGTTTGGGGCAGGGGATCCTGCAGGTCTCTGACCCTTCGGCGCCTTATCTTGATGGCCTGGCGCAAGAGTGGAGGGCGCCCTTGCTGGTGGGAGAGATGTGTCGTCATGGTGGCCGGCTCTGCCCTTGCCTCTGCTGCCCCGTGGCTGCCGAGTGAAAACCATGAAGCCGCAGGATGATGCAAAGGGCCCCAAGGCTGCCACCCTCTGCCAGGGGAGGGTGGAGGGATCTGAGGGTCAGGGCGTTACTGCCTTGCCAGACTCCCTGCTCCTTCCTCCAGCCTTGATCCTCTTTCCCAGCATAGAGCAGAAAGTGGACCCTGTGGGTGGGTACATCCCACCCCCCATCCCAGGGGTTCTGGGAAGGGTCCAGGGCCCCTGGCAGCAGTGGCAGGGCCAGGCTGGGTAGCGGAAACTGACCTGGGCCTGTGGGGTTCTCACCTGGAGGTTCTCTGACTAGGTCCCAGACCTGGGCTAGGGCGGGGCTGGCTCAGGGCGGTGTCTCCTGAGAGGCGTTTCCCTAGTTGATGCTTCAGCCTGCTCCACCCTACAGGCGACATTCCATGCAGCTGTACTAGGACAGCCCTGAAGCCCCTGTCCAACCTGTGGTTGGGAGGTTGCTCCTTCAAACACCCTTGTCGGGGGCTGAACTGAATCTGAAAGCCCCTGGGCTGAGAAGAGGCAGGAGAGGCTGTGCTGCAATCTCTCCAGGAGGGGGCATTTGGCAACAGAGGAGAGGACACTTCAGGACAGTTTCCCCGACTGTGGGTGGAGCACAGGCCTGGCTGTAGTCTCCGGTCCCCTCCTCCTAGGTAAAAAGGTGTCAGGAAGGCACAGCACACACTACAGTAGCCAGCCCAGCCACACTGTCCCAGGCAGGTTTCAAATGTGTCCAGGTCCTGGGAAGCCTGGGGGATTAAGCTGCTTTCTCTCTCCCATCCAGAACCTGTGCTCAGGACTGCAACTCTACAAAAGGCCAGTAGGGGGGTGGGGAGGGGCAAGGGGCAGGCAGGTCACAGACTTTGTCCTGCTTCCATCCGGGCATGGGGTGGCACCACCTGCCATCCTAGCTGGGTAGAGGGGCCTGTGTAGGGAGGCTGGGAAACAAACATAAGGTGAAGAAGACTCTCAGTGGAAGAGGACACAGGTCCTCTGGCCCCGCCCCCAGTGGTCAGCCAGCTCTCCCTCCGGAAGACCTTGACCTGGTCGCCACACAAGAGTCAGAAAGTGTCCAGTTACTTCATTTTTACTATTTCACAGTTGTAGCAAACAAATCAAGGTGCAAACAGGGTTTATTTCACATTAATATATTAACTGGATTTTTTTTGTGTCAAATAAATAGGGAATCCTCTTTAAATAACCTCTTCATTTTGTGGTCAGTCCAGGAACAAGAGCAAATCTTAGTCATCCAGGAGGTGTGAAGCTCAAAGAGGAAGAAGGGCAGGTGGCAGGTGACACAGTTGGGGGCCCTTGTTCCCAGACCACCCTCCAGTCCCCCACAGGGCCTGACGGACAGACATGCACTTGACTGTTCTGACGGAGAAGCCCCTTGTAGAGGGGAAAGGAAAGGAAGGGAAAATAATTTCCAGGAACATTAGCAGGTGCCAGAGAGCTTCCTCCCAGCCACAGTGGCTTTGCCTCTGATGCCATCCAAGCCCTACCTCAGGGTAGAGCTCCCAAAGTCAGAAATGGCAACAAAACGAACAAGGACAAGGGTGGCAGGTGTGACTGGGACTAGAGCCTGGCTGCAAGGAATGTGGACTGACAGTCAGCTGGGACAGTGGCTTTCCAGGGCCAGGCACAGACCAGGGGAAGGAATGTGAGCATGGCATGGCAGGGTCCACAGGGGAGACCCCTGGCTGGTCTGATGAGCCCATGAAGCAGAGCACAATGGCCACCAGACTGAGGGGCTGGACTGTGGTAGAAGAGTGGCCAGAGACTTGCTCCGTAGGAAGTAGCTACTAGAGTGGAACAGGAAGCAGGGGTCATCCTGTGCTCCTGAGAGCCCCAGAGATGATGACAAGGAAGCTGGGCAGAGCAGAGCCATGGCTGAGCTAGTGTGGGAAGCTGGGAGGCGCCTCTCAGAGGCCAGGAGCCCCACCCCTTCCATCAGAGCTAGTTCCTGTTAACTGTTTAGAATCAGACCTGGGGAAGAACAGAGCGCTCCCTGGCCTCCCCCAGCCTCCCCCAGTTCCAGATTCAACCCCATGGAAGGTGCAGGGAAGGACCATGAGGACAGGAGGCAGGAGGTCTACTGGGTCTTCTTGTCTTCTGGGGGGTAGTAGGGTGGTGGCGGAGGCTGGCTCTAGAGGAAGAAAAGAAAGATCACATGAACAGTTGCAAAATGAACTGAGGCTCTCCTAATACCGACTCCCAGGCTGCACATTCGAGGCAGTGCTCCCCCAACTCACCGTGGGCATGTAGACGTTGTGTGGGTTGCCTGGGTTGTAATAGGCGCTGGCAGCTGCTTCTGCGGCCTTGGCCTCAGCTGTGAAAGCAAACACATGGCGGCACGGTAACAAGCAGAAAGCCCGCCTCCTCTACCCAGCTCAGCCCCAGCTCGGGGTAGCTGGTGCTGGTAACCTAGGACATCAACAAAAGCAGCAGCTACCCGAGCATCTGCCATGTGCTGGCACTGCCCTTTCCGGTCCCTTTACATGTCCTTGACACAAGCCCACCAGGTGGCCCTGTGACCATCTGCAGATGAGAACACTGTGGCCCACAGGGCAGCGTGGTTCCGAGAAGGTCACTGCTAGCTAAGGGCTGACAGGCCTGGTATCTATTGCTTCCCTCCTCTCATCTCACTGCAGATCGCTCATTGCTTTCTGTGGTGCTGGAGATAGAACCCAGACCTGGCACACACTGGGAAAGTGCTCAGTGAGCCACACCCCCACCCTCAGAATATAGCTCCTCACCACCAAGCTACCCCCTGATGGTTCCTTTGGGTGGTTCTTAAGACAGAGGCCCTTCAGCAGTTGAAGCTCTCAGTAGTCTCAAGCCATCCTGTGGGGCTCTCTGTGAGACCCTGGGGAGAAGACTGCTCCAGCAGCCCAGGGGCCTCACCTGCAGGAGTGGAGGGGCCACTGGGGCCACTGACTGGAGGCTCCATGGGCCCAGGATAAGGTGGTGGCGGGGGCTGTACGTATCCTATAGCTCCATCCATTGTAGGGGGTGCTGGATAGAACTCTGCTTAGGAAGAGAACGACAGGGAAATGATCAGTGGGGCCTGGCTCCTTTAGAAAGGTACTCCACAGGGCGCCCTCTTAAGCCTCTCCAGTGTCTGTAGCTCTGAAGCAGGTCAAAGAACATGTCTCCCCTCTGCAACCCCTGACCTGGGGGGTGGTCAGTGGGTGGGTGGGTAGGCTGAGGCTGGGCAGCGAAGGACACACTCACCAGGTGGGGGCGGTGGATAGGGGTAGCCAGGAGGGCAGGGGTACATTCCATTGGCGACTGGCGGGGGAAAGACATAGGCCCCGCTGGGCATGTAAGGGTACCCATAGGCTCCATTGGGGGCTTCACCTCTGGAAGCTATAAGTACAAGGGGAGAGAGAGATGAGTGCTGCCTGCCTTGGGGACTGCTGGGTCCCAGGACTGTGCCCACTGATGTGCCCTACCTCCATTCCACTGCCCGCCCTGTGTGATCTGCCTAGGTCACCATGTGGTATGGAGAAGGTGGGAAAAGGCCAGAGGAAACAGGGCAGAACAGGTCCAGGGCAGGTGGAGTCAGTGGAGGGAAAAGGGAAGACTTAGGGATGGGGTGAAGGCTACCAGGAACGAATGTGTGCTGAACACAACACTGGGTCATTTAAAATGGCTGCTCGATGGTAGTTTAACGGGTTTTTGTTTGCTTTTGAGTCCAAACAGCTCTGTCAGAATGTTGCACACCTGTTCTGGGCAGAGGAAACCCACAAAAGACAATTATAGGTTTCCTAACCCCAATTCCCAGTCCTGGTCAGCAGGGCCCAGACAATTATTTCCTGGTGCTTACAAAGCAAGACAAAAGGACACAAGGTCAAACAGAAACCCACATGTTCAATGTGCCCTCCTGGGCCCCTAACTTTTCAGAGGCAGGATACCTTGAGATGCCACCTGGAGCATCCGTTGTCCAAACTCAATGGCGCCCCCTGCTGTGAAGGTCAACTTGTAGGAAGCAGAGCCTTCCCAGCCACCTGAGAAGGGGCAAGAACAGTGAATGAACAGCCCAGAAAAAGAAAACAGGTTATGCACAGAGAGATGGCTTTGTTCTCTTCACTGCCACTCAACACCAGGGAGACCTGTGGGGAACGTAGCCGGATCTCCACCTCTGCTTGTCGCCTGTGTAACACCGACACAGGTGCTGTAGACTGGCCTGGCTCCTGCTTGTGGGAACTTCACACTGGAACAGGGCTTTTCCCCAACCCCCAGCCCTGCCCACTAGGCATGTAAGCACAAAGGCTACATGGTTGATTTCAGAGCCAATAACGAGATGCGGGGTCTCCACCCAGGAAGGCACTTGGCAGCTTCCTGGGAGCCATAACTGACATCATTTAGGTCCATTCTCATGGTAAGGGACCTCAGGGCAGAACACGGCCCCTCTAGCCTGGCTGGGTATGGGGGGGTGAGGTTGACACTGAGCCTTCTGGGGTCTGTGTTCAGAGTCTGCCACAAAGCAGGACCCTTCCGGCCTCCCATAAGACGGCCGCCTTTTCCTGACTTTTATATGGCTCCTCCCAGGAAGAGGGCACAGTTCCTTCCCGAAATCCCAGGCACTCCTCAGGTGACAATGAAAACTTTATTTTTCAGTCTTTCTGCTGGGTTTACTCTCTGAACAGGTGGCCAATTTACCCTAGCATTCACCAACTCCTGGCAACCAAAACCCACGTATGCTGCTTAGCTGGTACCCAGACATTCTTCCAAAGATAATCCAGTGCCAAGAAGGGAAAGGCTCAGACAAAAGTCTGAAGATGACATTTCCAGGTGGCAGTCACAGGTACCCAGAGCACCTAACTGGAGGACCAACCAGTCCCTGAGCTCCCTTGTCACCTACCTCCTGCTTCAGCCTTCACTGTTCCTTTAATGAAGTTTGCACCAAACACTGGCTGCTTGATCTCACAGTCCTTCATCAGATAAAACGGCATCATGAAGGACTGCATGGCATCCTTCCCCTTAGACAGAAAGATAACCTGCAGGGAGAGATGACCAGGGCCATCAGTGCCACAACCACAGCCAGCTCAGGTAATTGTCTGTTCCTAGTGCCAAAGCAGGTAGCACATGCCAAGCCTGGCAGCCCCAGGGCTCCTCCAGGCACACTGTAAAGGAAATGTCCTCAGTGCAAGCTAAGGCGTTTACAAAAGGAAAGAGCAGACCACAGAATACGTGAGGATACACACACTGTTCTAAGCTTGGGACGAAAGATGTGCATGTGTGCAGAAGCATGCTATGATAGGCTTGGGCAGGGCAGGTGAGGCCTGGGGGTGCATGGGGGCACAGCCTGAGGCTTGCAGAGAATGGAGGACACAAGGGCTTGGGGGCCATGTGACCTTCCTGCAGCTGGACACTTTGTCTAACAGCCATAGAGCTCTCCTGTCCTATACCTGGAGAACCCCTGGGTTTCTTTTTTTTTTTCTAATGACATTAAAAAGCATTTTTTTTACTGATTCTTTAAGAATTTTATAAAATATATTTTGATCATACTCAGATGCCCCGCCTCCTTCCTGTCCTCTAATTTGTTTTTTTCTTTTTTTTTGGTCTTTTTGAGACAATGTCCCTGTAGCCCCAACTGGCCTAGAACTTGCTATGTAGACCAGGCTGGCGTCCATCTCACAGAGATCTGCCTGCCTCTGCCTCTTGAGTGCTGGGATTAAAGATGTATACCACTACTCCCGGCCTCTCAATTTTTCTTCAAAGGCCTATGGAGTGTAATTTGTGTTTCCCAAATGCTCTTAGGTGTGGGTCCATCCCCTGCTAACCTATTCAGCATCATTCCTTAAAGAAAACTGACTCTCCCTCTTCCAGCAGGTATCAATTGCCAACATTCCTCAGCTAGAGCTAGGGCTTCTTGCCTACCTTCCCCCTCCATGCTGGGTCTAATCACATTTATTTTCTGAGTTCTGTGTGTGGGGCGGGTGTGCCAGTGCCACAATGCAGATGCTCCATGGTGTACATATGGAAGTCAGAGGACAGCTTGCAGGAGTCAGCTCTCTCCTTCTACCATGTGGGTCAACCCCTAGGTTTCAAAACCAGCAGAGACTCAATGTAACTGAAGATGTGACTGTGAGCCTCCAGAGGTACCATGTTTTGAGCATTCCCATCTAATCAAAACCTGAAGACATGCTCATGCTTTCCTCCACCTTCTTGACAGCTCGGTGGTGGGAAACCACAGCCCTGCCCTAGACCACCTATTTGTCTCACTCAGAGCCCACAGTACTCTCAGGCTCAGCCTACTCTGCAGCCCGGCACTTCTCACAACACGGACTCTGCTGGGCTCTCTGCCCAGACTGGAGGCTGTGGCCCTGCCATGGCAACCTGTTTACCACAGTTATCACTCAGGATGTGCATAGGCCTCAAGGGCTGCTCCAAGCAAGTCATCCCAGCAGCTGCATCCAGCCTCAGGGAGATTTCTGCAGCAGCAGCTCTGAGGTTTTGCATGGACTCACTGCCTGGCAGTCAGTGCAATAGCACAGAAAGCCCGGTGCTTCTAGAATCCAGGATCACATGACAGAAACAGCAGAGCAAGGCACTAACATCCTCTTAGGGTTCAGAGGACAATGGAGTCACGAGGCTGAGGCTGACACACTTATGACCCTCTAAGAGCAGAGCCTGTAACCTGACTGTCCTGCTATGCAACTCACCCGGTAAGGGGTAAGGTAGACGGTGCCTTTCTTGGTCCCTTTGAAGGCCTCTGGCACATTCTTCATGTCATTGAATGTAAGTTCCACGTGATCATAGGACATGAGGATGCTGTGATGAGGAAAAAGGCTCTGATGAGACACTTGGATAAGTCATCAGTCATCCCAGACACTGGACAAAGTTGCCCAGAACACTTTCTCATCAGGGCTGTGAGGAAACCAACACAGCAGAGATGAGTCTCCTTAAGCCCTACTTATTCAGTCCCCAAGTGACCAGCAGAGAACTGTGGAACCACAGAAACATCCTCATCCCTCAAACTGGGCTAGATTAGCTACATTTACTCTTCTGCTTAAGTCTTATGATAGCACTGGGGTTTTGTTTGGTTTTGTTTTTTTTGAGGGGGTGGTTTGAGGTAAGGTCTCATGTAGTTCAGGCTAGCCTCAAATCATATGTAGCTGAGGGTGACCCTGAACTCCTGTTCCTCCTGCTTCTACCTCCCAAGTGCTAGGATTATAGGCTTGCACCACTCTGCCTCTTTTCGTGTGTGTGTGTGTGTGTGTGTGTGTGTGTGTTGTGTGTGTTTTAAAAAACACACCTAGCCGGATGTGGTAGCGCACACCTTTAATCCCAGCACTTGGGAGCCAGAGGCAGGCGGATCTCTGTGAGTTCAAAGCCAGCCTGGTCTACAGAGTGAGTTCCAGGACAGCTGGGGCTACAGGGAGACCCTGTCTCAAAAAGAGCAAAAAAAAACAGAACAAAACAAAACAAACAACCCCCCCCAAAAAAACCACACCTAATATATAATAAACATATTAAAAAATCTAATAGGGCTTAGGGATATAATTCAGTAGATAGACTTTTCCAGCATAGTCAAGCTCCTGGGGTCATCCCCAGCACAAGGAAAAAAAGTCCAAGACATGACTCTACACAGTACTAAAGAGCTTCTGTCAGGATTTAATGTAAGCTACTTTAAAAAAATTTTCTGTTATTGTTGTGTGTGCATACCACAGTGTATGTGTGGAGGTCAGAAGACAACTTGTGGAAGACAGCAATCTCCTTCCACCATGTGAATCCTACAACTCACACTTCTTAAGCTGGATCTGCAGAGATATCCATCCATAAAGCCCTTAAGGTGTGTGAGTGTACATTCAATTCTCTAGGAGAGTTAATCTCTAATAGCAGTTTGTGAATTAAAGAATAAAGTTCACTATTTTAAACATCAAAGTCTAAGCACTGGACTTAAATTTCAATTATTATGGACACACCCTTCTCAGAAGTGAGGCTCATGTACAAGGCACACCCTATTTAGTGGCAAGGAGTCATGAGCCAGGTACTGGGCTCAAGAGGACAGATACAGTCTAGTCCTAGAAAAGTCCCAGTTCGAGAGAAAGAAAAACAGCCCCAAGAGATGCACCCAAATGGCACCAGTTGGGGTGGTTGCATGCTTGAAATCTCAGCACTCAGAAGGCAGAGGTAGGAGGACTACCTCCAGTTCAAGGCCAGAGTGGGCTGCTTGTGGTGATGCACGCCTTTAACCCCAGCTCAAGGGAGACAGAGGCAGGTAGATCTTTATGAGATCAAGGACAACCTGGTCTACATAGTGAGTTCTAGGTCAGCTGGGGCTATAGGGAGAACCTGTCTCAAAAACTAAGCAAAACAAAAACCAGAGCATGAGAGTCAGTTAAGAGTGAGATCATGTAATGGCATCAAAAGTGCTTGTCTAAGCCAAGGAACTGGGCAAAGTAAAGAGAGGCAAGAAACCAGGGAATAACGTAAAGTTTCTCCGATTACCTAATAAAATGGTCCAAGTTCACACAGTTCCATTCATCTCCCCAAATACCTTTCTTGGTGCAGGGGTAAGGTGGGAATAGAGCTGGCACCATATAAGAGGGCAGTTCAGAGAAAGGACCCGATCAGCAGGTACAGGTTGGGTCAGTCAGACCCTGCACAGGAAAGATGGACAGACAGCATATCCAGTCTGCATCACCCTAGGCATGCTTCTCTGACTCATCAAGCATTCCCAGTGACAGGTCCCAAGACAGGTGCTGGTCCAGGCTGGGCGTAGACTCTGATCTATTCAAGCTGGCACAGCACAACTCTGGAGTGTCTGGTTTGATTCTCAGAGTTTAAGGAACAATACAAAAGGGAAGCCATCATCAACAGAACCCAGAGGTTGGAGGAGAGAAAGGCATGGTAAAGGGGAGCGAGGAGAAAAAAGAATCTTTAAGTTGGGAGTTCTCTGCCCTGGGGAACTGCACCGGAATTCAAGAGAAAAAGGCAAGGTGCCGGAAACTGGCCTGAGCAACTGACAAACAGTATTTTGTTTTTCCTCTTAGCTTTTCACTTGTAACCTGAGAAGTTCTGGAATATACTAGAAGGCCGCACACGGGCGGTTAACCCTATTGAAATTTTTCTTGGGAGGGAGACGGTTAAGACTCTTCCTGGAATGCCCATCTGTTACTCTTAGCACTGTGATCGAAGGCAAGTTACTTAACTCTCTGGGTCTCACTTTCCCTACTCGTAAAATGTGTATACTAGCTTCTGCGGCAGAAGATTTAGCCTATTAGATAAGGTAGAACCGACGCAGTGACAATGCAGTAAACGCCCAATAAATGGCAATTAAGACCCGTCCCAGCTCTTCAAGTCACCGAATCCGGGAAGGAACTGAGGAAATCACCAGTAGGCCTCCCTGGTCACCCCAAACTCCGTCACTCCTCAGCCCCACCCCCACCCCAGCCCCA